CTCATGAAGGAAAGTATGAAAGTAGAGCACTTCCGTTGTCTCTTTGTTGATCTAGTTCAATCTCGTTTTAGTCTGTAATCCCATCATCTTCCTCTCTGTGCACACACACTAGCTCAACATGGCGTGCTGTACTCCATATCAATCTGTCTGAAAGCTGATCACAACCTCTGTGCCTAAATGCTCTTTACTTTCCAACACCTCCAGCAGAAGCGACCTCATACTAAAGCCACCCAGTTCAGATGAGGTCACTGAGGAACAATATGAATTGAAAACTGTATGGTTGAAAAGATGGCTCGAGATGTTTTATGGTGATGAAAGACAAGCTGAAACTGTTAGGTTGTGAAGGAATGGAAGAAAGCAACCTGGAATAAAAGATTACATATCACAACAGTGAAGGGGTTTATGAGTCTCATCCACCAGGGAGGGACTGAAAACAACAGCTCGCTGAGTTGGATTTTAACACAATGCTGTGCCCTGTAGCTGTGCCACTTCTGCATTGTTCCCAGGATAATAAAGCACCTTTTCTGCATCCAAACAGGTTGTTGTTTAAGAGCAAAATCTCCTGGGTGTAAGCACACAATGATGCTGTTTCGCTACACTGATCTCTTTTGACTATTTAGACATTTATAGTGACATTGAGCAGAAATGATGGCTGTTGACAGCTAGAAATAGAAATTATCAGTTATTTTTCTCAAGAGATAGGCATTCTAGTATCTATTTATTTAAATGCGGTATTACATTCATTTACGGTAAACACAACAAAATGTTATTCTTCAGATATAGATTATAAATACACCAAACTAACTTTGAAAAAGATATTTATGTCTTAACTGGTTAGCAATTAGAATACGATAGAAACTAGAGCCTTCTTTGTCAAGAATTATAATCTCTATAAAATATCCTCCATACAGTAGGAGCCATTCAGAATTTCCTCACTTTCCTTGATGGGATTTTGGCTGATCCCCTACAATTATTTTTTAAACATAAATCTTTGTATTTATTTATTCTTTCTGTCATGATTTGTGGACATTAAGATCTGAAGAGAAGCGTCCTCTCCTAGTAAGACCCTGTAATTCAGTAAAAGGCTGGAGTAAGACTAAAAAAATGTGCACGCCCAGGAGAAGGAGGAGGTCACTCCAGTGGCTGGAAGTTGGAGGGGATTTTGCTGGGAGTTTCAGGGAAGTGTGCTGCCATTCGGCTGGCATTTGACTGGGAAGGGCCTTTTTGTTGAACCATGAGTAGGGAAGCTGTCATACATCTACTATACCAATCAGGTAGATAATATCAGAGTTTTAAAGGAAGCATATGTGAATGACAAATAATAATCCTACCACACTAAACAGGAATTTAATGTAACTAAGTAAAAAAATTTTAATAAACTAGGATTATATATCAGTAACTTACAGTAGATGCATGTTTCCATACTAAAAAAAAAATAAAATAAAATAAATAAACTGACCAGATATAACTCAAGTGAATTGGTAACAAAGTGAATCAAATAAAATAATATATTAAATCAAATTAATTTCTATTGGATTTAACAAAAACAAATTAATTTAACTGAACTATGAAAAACTTAATTAAGTATGACTAAATCAAACCAGATTTAGCTGGAATAAATACACCTGAAAAGAGCTGGATACATTTTTTTGCATCTAAACTGAAGGGGTTTCAGTGTATTACATCTTACTTAAAGCTACAGTGTGTAATTTTCAGCGACATCTAACGTTCAGACTGCAGACCGCAGCAACATGAACATCTCCCCCCCACCGCTTCTACCCCCCAACAGTACGGCGAGCGTTACGGGACAAAATGTCTTCCACAACGTCCGCGCATCACCTACCTTCTCAAGTGATGAGGTTTGTTTACATAGATAATTTTAATACTGCCATCTATTGTTCAGTACCGTCTCAGTTCATCTCTTTCAACTTGCCGTAGTTACTTTCGAGCGTAATGGGCGATCTCGCAATCGCTAGTTTGTTGTCCGCATTGCCGGCAATAAGTTGGGCTCGTTTCCGGTAAGAGTTGGACTCCGCCAGGGCTGCCCTTTGTCACCGATTCTGTTCATTACCTTCATGGACAGAATTTCTAGGCGCAGCCAAGGTGTTGAGGGGATCCGTTTTGGTGGCCTTAGGATTGCGTCTCTGCTTTTTGCAGATGATGTGGTCCTATTGGCTTCATCAGGTCGTGATCTGCAGCTCTCGCTGGATCGGTTCGCAGCCGAGTGTGAAGCTGCCGGGATGGGGATCAGTGCCTCCAAATCCGAGGCCATGGTCTTGAGCCGGAAAAGGGTAGAGTGCCTTCTCCGGGTCAGGGGGGGTGTCCTGCCACAAGTGGAGGAGTTTAAGTATCTTGGGATCTTGTTCACGAATGAGGGAAGAAGGGAGTGGGCGATCGACAGGCGGATTGGTGCAGGGTCTGCTGTGAAGCGGGCACTGTACCGGTCCGTCGTGGTGAAGAGAGAGCTGAGTCAAAAAGCGAAGCTCTCGATTTACCGGTCGATCTACGTTCCTATCCTCATCTATGGTCATGAACTCTGGGTCATGACCGAAAGAACGAGATCGCGGATACAAGCGGCCCAAATGGGTTTCCTCCGTAGGGTGGCTGGGCTCTCCCTTAGAGATAGGGTGAGAAGCTTGGTCATTCGGGAGGGACTCGGAGTAGAGCCGCTGCTCCTCCATGTCGAGAGGAGCCAGTTGAGGTGACTTGGGCATCTGTTTAGGATGCCTCCTGGACGCCTCCATGGTGAGGTGTTCCGGGCACGTCCCACCGGGGGGAGGCCCCGGGGAACACCAAGGACACGCTGGAGAGACTATGTTTCTCGGCTGGCCTGGGAACGCCTTGGGGTTCCTCCTGAAGAGCTGGAAGAAGTGGCTGGGGAGAGGGAAGTCTGGGCCTCCCTTCTTAAGCTGCTGCCCCCGCAACCCGACCCCGGATAAGCGGAGGAAGATGATGGATGGATGGATAGTTTGTTGGCTCTGCGCTGCCGTAGCGCAAAGATGTCTGCCTCTATGGCTGCGAGACCCGCTCCTATGTAATTATAAATAACGAATTCTAAGGCAACGCAAATATTAAGGTTAAGAGGCTGAGCTCGTAGATGATGATAAATAACATAGTTATGTATAATATATTACATTTCTGACTGTATATCCCTGTAATTATTAAACACTGTAGCTTTAAATAAAAAATGCACACTTGCTGTGTTAGATTTAAATAAACTGAAGTGAAAATAGACCTTGTCTGATATAGCATGTACTGTACATAAAATATGAGAAGATTTAAATGTATTAAAAACATATGAGCGTAAAATAGTTTGGATCAAAATAAAATTTTATTATATCAATATATATCAATCAAATCATTTTGGAATAAAAAATAATTAACTAAGACTGAAAATCTAAATCAAACAAAGTTTAACTTGAAAAAGACTTAAATGAGTAACACCAAACAGATCTGTGATCTGAGTAATGATGAGGCGAACAAAGCTGAACAAAACCCTATTAAGTTTAGGTCAGCTTTGAATCAATCTATCTATCTATCTATCTATCTATCTATCTATCTATCCATTGTATATATATATATCTATACACTGTATAGATATATATATATATATATATATATATATATATATATATATATATATATATATATATATATATATATAAAACACCTACGCAGACTTCCCAATAATTATGGTTTATGGTGGAACTAATGTTCAGCGATTAGATTAATTTCTTCTGTGAAAAGATTGTGCTGCTTTTTTCACAGCTATACATTATTTTCCATAAGGACTAATTATTGTAATTAGTAGTTTTAAAGCCTCCTTTCAGCTTTATTTTTGTTATACGTGGAGGAAAATTTAGCTATTTTGAGCTTTAGATGTAATTTAATCTGACTTTGAACAGGATTTAGCTACAGGACTGGACAAATGAAATTAAAGGTTCCCCTCCAAATCTGGTAAACTCTACTTTGGGAAGATGAATGAGGGTGAAAGGGGGCATCCTTCCTCAGTGCTTAACTGTTTTCCCTGCTTTCCTGACTGCGGCAGCCCAAAAAGTCATGAATGCTTCGGCTTGTTTGATCACAGAGAAAATCCTCGTGTGTCAAACTTCCGTCAGCTCCCAACTTAAAAAAAAGGAAAAAGGAAAAAAAAAAACCCTCAAATCAAAGCGTCTGAAGTAAAAAAAACAAAAACAAAGACCAGCAAAACCTTTAAAAATAGCAAAGAAATAATATCAACTTATCGTCTGTTATCTTTTTTCCCCCAAGAAACAAGAACAAGAGAACAAAGACAAGAAATAAAGGTGTGGACAAAATTTTCTCCACAATATAAGTGCAGTGGGTAGGAGGTAAACTGAAGGTGGGCTGAACTTCATTCTCCTTTCCCCCCGGCAGCAGATTAGACCCACAGTTTCCAAAGTGGTGCACAGGTGTCCTTGAATGTTCTCCTTTTTTTCCCCCAACTTGATTTGATGTTATCATCCCTGACTCCGGCTAAGTACAGCTTAATATTTCTGCAAAGCTCATCCAACAGCAATTTCAGCCATGAGAAAGAGGCTGAGGTGTGGTAATAATGCTTCATTGTTTGCTGTGGATTCAATAGAGGCTTTGTTACTCAAAAATCTGCACAACAATTTGTTTTTTGGGACAAGGCCACCATTTGGCCAATGTATTTTCAAGGGCACAGCGCTGATGATGGTGTCTGAGCAGCCTTTGTTATTTGAGAGCAAGATAAGCACCTGAAAAACACAGTGAATGGTTTTATAATGTTCCATTAGCTCGATTTGCTCAGCTAAGGTTACATAAGGCTAATGATTAACATTCAGAAAGCACCTTTCTAAACTGAAGTGGTCAGCAGGACATTTGTTCAGCAACACAATTTTATGCATCTGATATTATGAAGGTGTGTGTGTGTGTGTGTGTGTGTGTGTGCACACATCCCCCCAAAAAAGACTTTCAAAACAAGAAGGGAAAAAGGGAAAAACATGCAACAAAAATACCTTCATCTCGAGGCTTGTTCATTGAAGATTCATCAGTTTTTTTTGTGAGCGGACCTAGGGTTAAGAAAAAAAGGGGGGAAAAAGAGAAAAGAGAAAATTTCAAAAAAGATTACTGGCAAAAACCGATAAAAAAAAAAGAATATCAAAAAAAGAAAAGAAGCAAGAGTGAAAAAAAGGACAAATAAGTTCAAGAGTTCATGTTTGCTCATTGTTTTTCTTTCCTTTCTTTAAAAAGAGTACAAAAGCAAAAAGAAAAAAAAAAGAAAAACCATCACAGACACAGATTTATCACAAGAAAAGACACAAGATCAAAGAAGAAATCGGCTGCCGTATTGTTTTGATTTAGTTTAAACCCTGTTTATGTCCTCAGTGCAACCTTTGGAGTCTTACTGGGCAGTAGTGGAAAAAAAATGAACATAACATGGCCGTATGAGTTTGTATAACAGGACCAAGAAACCCTTTCTAAAAAGTCACTGATATCTTAAAAAATAAGTAAAAGAAGAAAAACCGAACGGAAGGTTTTGAGTCCTGATGCTCAAACACCACAGAACGTGATTTATTGATGTGACAAAATGAAACCTCTTTAGAAAAACACACCCAGACACAAAGACCTCTTTAATAGTTCAGGAGCTGCAAAGACAACAAGCCTGTTATGGTAAAATGCATGTTAAACATGTTTCTGATCAAACAGAAAAAAGGTATTTTCATGAGTTTGTTACAGCATCTGTGAGGTATTTAGTGTTTCTTCCTCGGGCGGGAAAATAATTACATGGCACAACAGCAGCGGTTTGTCACTTCCAAATGACAACTGAGCGTTGTACTGATTGCATGGAGGAGTGCAGGTAAAAAGGGGGCGTGATCTGACCCCTGTCTGCCTGCAGGCTGTAGTTTTGCTAAATTAAAAGAATGGCATGAAGAAAAGTGGAGAAGAAAAATTATCTCCACTTTTATTTCCTCTATCTGTGTAAACAAACAGAAAGGAAACCAAGTTTTTTTGTTTTTTTCCCCCGGCATTGCCCCCCTTGATAAGAGCACATTGACATCTATTTAGTAAACATACTTGATAGGTTAAAAAATATATAGAAACAGATATTTCTGATTTCATCTCTCGACTTTATATTTTATCCACAAGAGCAAGTATCATTGAAAGTAGTTTGCAAATCTCTTAAATCTTTATGGCCGTGCAGATAGAGTGTCACACAAGTATTTACACCTCTTGACCAGTTTGACTTTTTTTCCTGTGATAGAAGCACAATCGTCAGCTTATTTTGTTGTGGTTTTATATGAAATATCAGTGACAGAACAAACACTGTTCTAGTCACTCAAAATTCTGGCACTATTGAAAAAAAACACAATAGAAGCCCTGTTTAATTGTTTTTTGTTGTTTTTTTTTTTCTCCAAGCGTGAGTTAAAAATGGGAAACAGTAGAAAAAGTGTCTGAGCCTTAAATGAAACTAAATTCAACTTCTCCTGTCTATATTTAAATGATATTTTCTTAAAAACCGGCACTTCATGCAACCCTGAAAACACCTGTATTTCAGAGTAGCAGAGGCAGCAGAGTGCTTTGTGGATGCTTGTGTTTGGTAGGCACAGGAAAACTGTTCAGTTAATGGAAAGATGGATGGAGCAAAACCGAAGAAGATAAAAAAGAAAAACCTGCAAGACTCTGCAAAAGACTCTAGACCATGGATTTATCATTCAGCAGGACAAAAACCCAAAACAACCAACCAACCATTGAGATCAAAGTGTATAGTAGAGTATCTTTCTTTAGAATGGCCCAGTCAAAGTCTTGACCTGATTTCAAATGGGAAGCAGTAGATGTCGAAAAAAGGCTCTCTATCCAAGCTGATTGAATTGCAAGAAAAAATACCTAACTCCAGATGCAGAAGGCAGGTAGAGATGTACTGTACCTAAAAGACAGGAGCTGATTCTAAAGTTAGCTATGGGTTATAACCCTATGCAACATATTCTTTCCTTTTCCTGTCAAATTAATACATTTCATTGGTCTATCATCAAAAAAATGTAAATGAAGAACAGTGACATTTTATGTAGCAACACCATCCAATGTGGATATTTTTAATAGAGATTTAAGAATTCTTGGAAAGCTCAGATGATTTCACAGTAAAATAAATCAGATTTAACATTTATCTGATGAGGCCTTTGGACTGCTCCTTCTATTCAAACATTACAAATTTCTAGCAAACTTGGCAGAATTTCAATGCTGGAAGCATTTCCTGAAACGACTGGCATTCCATTCCCATATCAAAGTCAAAGACTGAAATGACCAACCATTCACGGACTAAATAAAACCATATTTATAATGTATACCTGTAAAAGTGTAAGCTTGAGATTTTTTTCAGTGAGAGCTTTGACATGAAAAAGAAAACAAATCTTCAAAAATCAAATAAAAATGAAAATATTTTTTAACTCAAACCTCAGTTTTAAACCTCTTACAAAGTCCAAAAGGGGGACTTTAAGAATCAATTATCTGATACTCTATTGGACTTAAAAAGCGGGCCTTCTATTAATATTATTATAATTTTTTTTTTATATACCACAGCATTTAAAAACGTTTTCCAACTCTAAACATGAAACAAAGCGATGAGAATACAATAAAGTTTTCCTTTTGCTGTGATGATGAAAACAAGCTGAAAATAGCTCCCCAGGCTTAAAATACAATTTCTTGATTTCTTGAGGAAAAACAGGAACGCATCATCTTAAATTACGGGATTAGATATAAGAATGAATGTCTTTAATCATCAAAATATAGTGACAAGAACACCAAAAGATGTCAGTACAGTGCAAAACTGCAACAACCAAGTTAAGACAAAAGGCTTATTAATGCATTGATGGTTATGCAGTTTCTGGCTTTAAATGTGACCCAAAGTTGTGGGGTTAGTTTTTATGGTGCCTGTTTAAAATGAAAAAGAAGACAAAACGTGTCACTTAAGAGAAAGAAACTTGCTTAAAACTCAGGAAAGGTTAAAAAATAGTCACCTAAATTTGCCCTTATCCGCAGTCAGAGCTTTATTTAAAGTGTGTAAAACAACTGGAACATACAGAAAAGGGTTGAGGAAGACCCAAGCTTATGCTCGCAAAAAGCACAGTGAGTGGGATAATAAAAAAGGTAAAAACATCCTTCACAGCACACTTTCATCTTTAGTGAACGACATTTGAGTTAACGACAAATTAGATTCGTGTAAAAACATATTTAAATTTGCCAGTAATTTCGATTAACCTATTTTGCCCAAAATGCCTCTCCTAAGTAATCCTCTATTAAAGTATATGAACCATTTGTCCCGCATTAATCAGTTTTTGCCCCAGTGATGACCAAAAAAAGTGTCACTTTGTTAAAATTCATCCTCCGCTCCCCTCACCAGGGAGCAAATGCTAACCTTCCATCCAATCATATTTAATTTTAGCAGAACTAAAGGGGAGTGCTGGCTTGCGCCTGATAAGTGGACTGTGGAGGGTTTTCAGAGTTATTTTAGCTTTCTCTAGCTTCTAACGCATTAAAACATGCAGGAGCAGACGTACTGAGGAAGTTAATTCATGAGGAGTTTAAATCTTACAAGAAAACCATTATAGGAGAACATGTCCCAGAGTTTGTTTGAATCACAAAGTACAAATGGAGATGATTAAAAAGTCATTTAGCTCTTATTTCATCTGCCCATTTAACCGAGACGCATCTAAAAGGAGTTTTTAAATTGTTGGTTGATTCTGGGGTTTTACTTTTCCTTTCTGGTTTCATCCGTTCCTTGCTGTTTTGTCATGTTCTAAAAAGGATGCTGTAATGATATATTCCTTTAGATTTAATCTTCTTATATTCATTATTTCTTTTCTCTGCATATTTTTAGTTTGTCATTTGCAGTAGTAGCCATTCAAAATTTTCTAACTTTCCTTGATGGGCGCTTGGCTAGTCCCCTAAGATTCCTTCTTTAAACATCAATCTTTGTACTAAAATATTCTGTAATGATTTGTGGACATTAAGATCTGAAGAGAAGCACCGTCTACTGGCCAGACCCTGGAATTCAGTGAAAGGGTGGAGTCAGAGTAAGAAAATATGCATGCCCAGGAGAAGAAGGAAGTCACTCTTGACTTAGAAGAGCCGTTTTGAATGGCTGCAACTGTACATCAAAGTTCATTTGTTTCTGTTCATTTATTTCTATTAGTTTGTGGTTTGTAATTTTCCTTTATGTTTACTGTAGTTCCACTTTGTTTCTGCACTCTCCAAGCTGTTCAGCATTCTGCTGATTAGCTGGCTTTGATCCAATGTCACTCTCCGCTCCTTTCTTTGCTTTTTATTTATTGCTTTTCACTAGTTTCCACATGTTCTGGTCTTTTAGGGAATTCCCTGTAAGTTCCCATCATCATTGTATGATTTAAAAGCTCAGTTTTACCACAGACTGTTTCTAGACTGTTTTTTTTTTCCCCCCCAAATATGACAGTGTAGGTTGACATTTCTCAACAAATTCCAAACACATACAAAATTAAGAACCAAAGGCCAATGGGAAAATCCAAAGTACGCCACAATCATTTTATCTATTTATTTATTTTTTTTAACACTAGAATTAGCCTTTGCAGTTCATATAAAATATCAGAACGTGAAAAGTTGTGTTTAGGGGCACTTTACATATATATATATATATAAAAAAAGGACATCAGTTTTAAGCATATATATTTTAGCTGGTTGCCTCTGATTTGTTTGTGGGTGAAGCCAGTAGTTTGGAAGCAATGCCAGTAAAAGCAAGCTTCTATCCTTACCAAAAAAAAAAAAAAAAAAAACTGTACACTGCAAAATATAAAATCTAAATATGTTGTTTTTTGTGCATTTGTTTTTTAATTGAGAAGATAAGTGAGACACTTTGCCAAAGGAGCAAGACAGTTTACATTTAAAACAAGAAAAAACAATTGCATTGTCTTATTTCAAGTGCAGAATATCTAAAAACTAAAAATACTTATTCAATTGGCAAATCATCTTATTTACTTGCTGAAATTAACGGTGAATACACTTAATTTAAGACATTTTTACTTCTTTGTAGATGGTATTTAGG